ACATCTGTCACATTTCATCCCTTTGTTCGGCTAACATAGCCCGAATCATGGCTTGCACCCCAGCCATTATTATTGGTTCTGGTGCTGCTGCTACAACAGGTATTTGCTCAATCACTGGTGGTTGATTCCTGTTTTTATCCGCGTTTCCAACGCCACTCCTTGTTCTTACCATTTTTGATCTACACACCGAATAAGGTGAAATTAGATCCTCATTCACGATAGATATTCAAATAATCCTTATTACTCCGAAACGTTTACATGTTAGTTCTAATACCGTAGACGTACGCTTAGAATCCTACACACATATGGTTTCCAGATCCGTTCGACAACAGACCATAGATCCGAACAAATAATATCATATATGGCAACATATAACATTTAGCACATAAAAGCATTTTAGGCAGCTTCCTAAACTATACTAGTGCTCGTGTCAATATTATAACAGACACACATCTCACAATCTCCTCTTAGCATTCTAAGTTTAAGTCTAGAAATCCTACAAATTCCTAGTTCGCTTAAACTAATGCTCTAATACCAACTGTGACATCCCCAAAATCACGGCCAGAAAAGACCGATTTCATTTATGCTTTTTAAAATAATTTCAAAGTAAATCTTTTTGATTTAAAAGTGTTGCGGAATTTGTTCCCAAAACAAAATATGATAAAATAATATTTATCAAAGCATTTCATCAAGATATGCATTTTCATTATATAATCAAAACTCGGGATGTCATGTTCCGATACAGAACATAAAGCATAAACAATAACATTACAAGTCATTCAACAAATATATACATATACAGACTTGTAAACAAAACAACTCGATGATTCATCCATCCTATGCCCTTGCTCCACTTCCTGTAATACAAATAAAATTGAGTGGGTCAGGCTTGGGAGCCTGGTGAGCATATAGGGTTTTCAACCCACAATAAATAATTATATTTAATTTCACCAACCAACAATAACCTGATTACCCATTCCCGTTATCGTCACTTTACGTCCCTAAAACAACATCTATCTCAAGGGACCTAATCTAGGATTTTCATTGGGACGGACATTACTGCTAAGGGGTTTCCTCAACAATAGATATCCTAAAGGCAACCATGAGGGGGATAGAGTACACCGGTGAACACATCGTTCACAACACCTACAGGTTATGAACCTGCTAGCGTTCTACAGGGCTGTCTAGAAAGAGTCTGTGGTCGTTATCCATACTCTGCTGAATAACTAGATCAACAACAACAACATCGAGGCCTCTCATATGTTTATCACACACCAACTATCTACCCATGTTCTACCCAACATATTAGTAGATAAAAATATATATATTTGTATACATAGTTTAAAACCTGTATAGCATTCTCATTCAATACATATTCCACATAACAGATGACGCACACCCACATAACACGTATTTCATAGAGAATAAATCAGATCAATGAGATACAAGAAAGTGAATATACATTCACACACATAACAACAAAATTATACACATAACACGTATTTCGTATAAAATACTTCATAATTATGCGTTAGAAGAAAGTAACCACACACTCACTTGATCAGAAGATGATCGGACAGCACTACGACTTGCAGAATTAGTATTCTTCAGTGGATCTGGAAGATCTTCACAAAAAAACCGGGCTTATCGTGATAGAGCTTTAGCTTGGGAATTGCACTTCTCGGGATCTTCGGGGCTTCAAAACTTGCTTCGGGGCTCGGGAATAATATCGGGGCTTTGGGATATAATTGGCACGCAAATCGAGGCAAAAACTAGAGAGAAGGTAAGAAATTGGCAAAAGAATTAGGCTGCCCTCGCTTTCCCTTTTATAGGAGGCTGAAGCCTCACAGTACACTGGGCGTACTGCCTTACGCGGGGCGTACTCCTTCGAAATCGTCACTGCATGCGTCATCCGAAGAAATCGAGTGCGAGGGTCGTCATGCATCGATGTACGCTGGGTTTACTTCGGATAAGTCCGGTGACTCCCCTTCGGATAATATCGGGTTTAATAATTAAATTTAAATATTAATTATTTAATAAACTTCATAAATTCATATCTTCTTCATACGAACTTCGTTTTCGACGTTCTTTATATCCACGCATAGGTGAGACTACGCTCTACAACTTTCATTTAGACTCTGTCGGCTAATTTTGATTTTATTTTTTATTATTTATTTTTAGTAGGCCGGGACAAGAAAACTCCGTTATAAATTCATAACTTCTTCATATGACGTCCGTTTTCACCTAAGTTTTATCGATTTACTACTATTAACAAGATCTTCGATTCTCGTTTAGATTGTTTAGACCAACAATCACTCGATCTCGAATCGAGTATTCGGGATGTATATTGCTAAGTCGAAACTTCAGTAAAATCAGACAGTCCTCATACGAAGTCAGATTTGGGTGTTCTTTTTATGCATGCTATCGGTTTAACGAACTCTACGACATTTGTTTAGATCACTAAGGCTAAATATCGCTCTAACGTAAATTTCACTTTTTACGTCAGCGTTGTCGGTTCTGTCGCAAAACTTCGACAGGTCATAACTTCTTCGTTATAACTCGGATTTCGGGATTCTCTATATATTCGGAACCCTCATTTCAACTACTACAATATTTTCCATAGATATCAACTTGATCTAACATTTTATTTTGACGCTTATTTTTATTCTTAATTACATTAAGACACACAATTAAGCACAAAACATATAATACTCAAATAATACACTTTTATTATTTCAAAACGAGTTACAAAGGTTAACCTAGACTATTATATCAACATTAATGACAAGCACAGAAACACAGGCGTTAAAGGTCATGAAGTGCATGTTCCTTACCAAACCGGAGAATATATTTGGGAAACATCCAACATTTTCCCACTATATACAACAGTACTCCCTATGGTCCAAATTATATCAAACCACATGGTTTTGGTATTACACATAATTGGGTCAAGAAGAGCATCTTTTGGGAGCTTCCATATTAGCGTCACCTATTGATCCGACACAACCTCAATTTGATGCATATTGAGAAGACTTTTTTTGAAAATATGTTTCAGACTTCGATAGGCACCCCAAAGTCCAAAGACAATATGAAGCTAATATAGGATATTGAGATGCTATGTGACCGAGCTATACCAAACCCCATCAGGGACAACAACAGAAAGGCCAGGAAGAACCTTGGAGAGTACACATTGACAAAGGAAGAAGTTAAAAAAGTATGTGATTGGTTGAAAAAGCTAAAATTTCCTAACGGGTATGCATCAAATATAGGTAAATGTGTAAACATCAAAGATTACAGTTTTTATGGTTTCAAAAGCCACGACTGTCACGTGTTTATGCAACGGTTGCTTCCCCTAGCTATAAGATGGTTTGTTCCAACAAAGATATATGAGGCTGTATTTGAGATATATATGTACTTTGGAGTATTATGCTTGAAAATGTTGCATTTTCAAGACATGTTCGATATGAAATGTAGTATTGTTCAGACCATGTGCAAGTTGGAGAAAATATACCCTCCTGGCTGCTTTGATTCCATGGAACACCTGGTCATACATTTAGCTGATAAAGCTATTACTAGTGGTTCGGTACATTATAGATGGATGTACCAATACGAGAGGTAATCACCCTATTTTAATATAATATATCTAACAATTTTAAAGTTATTTCTGGTATTCCTAACACATCGTCCATACTTTATAAATATAGGAATCTTGGCATAATTAAAAGAAGAATCATGAACAAAGCAAGGGTTGAGGGGTCAACAGTCAATGAACATCTAGTGAATGAACTCGCTACCTATTGTTCGTTATATTTTGACCTGACGATTGAGACACGCCATAATCGAGAAGTACATAATTTTGCACCACAAAGTCATCGGTTTTCGAGTGGAGAAGCTCCACTTAGCATATTTGTCATCCCATCAAGAAGATTATATGAAAAAAGTGGAAAACGACAACCCTTGAGTGATAAAGATCTTCACAAGGAGCACACTTACATATTACTTAATTGTAAAGAAGTTAACCCTTACTTCATTGAGTTTGATGAACTGGTCATGACAATGAATCCAAATGAATAAGTTTCTAATTTAAGAGATAAATACTTTGCTGAATGGTTTGAGGACAGAGTAAGTAGACCCAGTTCAATCATATTGATTATTATTAATGCATCATTAACCAACACAATGTGTGTATGTTTTCAATGTAGGTAATGTATAAGACACCCAACGGAAGTGTTATACACTTAGAAGTTATAGCTAAGAAACCATCAAGACATCCTTATTTTCATAATGGGTATTTTGTAAATGGTTATAAGTTCCACACTCAAAAATACGTTGAGGGTCGTGCGACGAATAATTTTGGAGTATGTATGAGAGGGGAGACTTATAATGTCGAACAAGAGTCGGACTACTACGACATAGTGCAAGAGATCTTAGAGATTAAGTATTATAGCAACGGACCCTCGATTGTTGTACTATTTAATTGTATTTGGTTTGATAACAAAGACATTGTAATTGTCAACAAAAACAAGTTGATTGATGTCAAACCCAAATCTCAACTTCAAACTGACAATCCTTTTTGTTTGGCATCACAAGCAGGAGAAGTGTTTTATACACCATACCCTTTAATGAAAAATGAGATGAAAGATAAGTGGGTAGTTATCAAGACAAAACCAAGAGGGGTATTTGAAGTCATCGAAGATGAAATGGAAGCAAATGAAATCTTCTAGGTTGAGTAACGGTTTGAGTCACCCCTTACTGTAACTCGTGTGGAATGACTGTGCCTAGCCTCAACTATAAATACGTATGAGAAAATATCTGATGACAAGAATGAGGGAAATAAGGAGGAAGACGAATAAGTGGGAGATTTTTAAGACGAAGATGATGAAAACGACTGTGTCTAGCCCCAACTCCCACATACATTTTATAGGCCCCAATCCCCACAAATGGGTTATACACCCTAGTTTCCAAATACGGGTGCTGAGTCACAGGCCCCACAAACGGTTATGAGGACGGGTGGTCATGATGGATTTGAGGACTACTATTTTGAGGAAGCAGATGCACAAGCAGACTTCCGGTCACCACAGACCCCATACATGCCACGACCACCGAACACGCCACCGACACCACATGGGTCCACCTCTAGAGGTATTACGGGCGCTCACGACTCGAATGCGAGTGATTTTCAGGACTCTTTGTTATCCCTCATTAGCCAAAAAAGGAAAAAGTTAGTGTTTTAATATTTTAAAACTTTAATTTTTGATGTTAAAGTCCTACTTATATAATTTTTTCAATGTAGGTTTGGATCTAGGAAAATCCACAGCACGTGTACTAGTCTCTATTGGGAGAATATGGATCATCTATGGCCCCGATTCAACGATATTCCCTATGAGGCTCTTATATAGATGTTTTCGCATTTCAAGGTAATATATTAAATATTTATTATTGTATCTTATACTCATTTGTTTTCAGTTTGTATTTTTAAATTTTTTTTACAGGCCATGTAAGGTGGCATTGACAAGATAATTGAAACAAATTTGATGCCTTCAAGTGTGTCCTCAAGGATAGATACAGAGATCGAATGAAGCGTACCAGGATTAAATCTGGCGACATGGCATGAAATAATTGGAAACCCATCCCCCCAGGTTATAGTACCTACTTCGAAGGGATGCATAACTATCACCTGGAGCGCATACAATAGAATGTGTGGCTACGTTTGTGTGATGTAATGGATACGATACATTATTATCTAGTTTGTTGAATTTTAATTTCCTATTGCATTATTATACTTATATTTTTTTCCTTTTCACAGCATTGGTCCACAGATAAGTTGAGAAATAATTCAAAAATTGCTCAGCAGAACCGCAAAACCGTAGATGCTAGTGGGTCGACAGCAAGGCACACTGCGAGTAGTATAGGATTTGACAAGCACCGTAACGACTTAGTAAGTATCATAATTATAAACTTTATTATCTTATTTTTTAACACTAACTACATCAATTATACTTTCTATTTCATGTAGGAAAAGATGATGGTTAAACCACCCACACAATATGATGTTTTCATGAAGAAGCATGGTACAACTGAGTCAAAAAAAAATTTGCAGGAGATCATGAAAATCTCGAATATTGCTCACAAACGGCCAAAGAAGCACAGGTTACTTATCTTTTATCATTTATGTATATTGATTGTATTAGTATTTTGGTATATGACAATGGTATTGTTTTGGTAATATGTAGGAGGTGTATCTACAGGGGTTGGTCAAAAAATATGGAGAAGATCTTTCAAACCATAAAGATGATGTATGGTTATGGGAGGAAACCCAAGTTAGGAAAAGGAAAGAAGAATGGTGATATCTATGGGATAGGAACATCATATATACATTTTGTGGTTTCTGGGACACCATCTTCCCAATCCAACAATCCACCCAATCGGACAGTACACAACAAGAGGTATGTTGTTATGGTTTAAAAGTTAAGTAGTATGTTGATAATATTGATTAAGTTGATAATAAAAAAAAGTACATTGCTATTATAGTTAAAAGTTAGGTAGTTTATTGATAATATTGATTAAATTGATAATAAACAAAAGTATGTTGCTATTCTAGTTAAAAGTTAGGTAGTTTGTTGATAATATTGATTAAATTGATAATAAACAAAAGTATGTTGCTATTATGGTTAAAAGTTAGGTAGTTTGTTGATAATATTGATTAAATTGATAATAAACGAAAGCACGTTGTTATTATGGTTAATCGTTAGGCAGTTTGTTGATAATATTGATTAAATTGATAATAAATAAAAGTACATTGCTATTATGGTTAAAAGTTAGGTAGTTTGTTGATAATATTGATTAAAATGATAATAAACAAAAGTATGTTGCTATTATGGCTAAAAGCTAGGTAGTTTGTTGAAAATATTGATTAAATTGATAATATACAAAAGTACGTTGTTATTATGGTTAAAAGTTAGGTAGTTTGTTGATAATATTGATTTAATTGATAATAAACAAAAGTATGTTGTTATTATGGTTAAAACTTAAGTATATTGTTATAAGTATGATAAACAAAAATGCATTGTTATAATAAACAAAAGTAGATTGCTATTATTGTTTAAGTATTGAATTGTGTTACCATATTTTTAGGTTCATAGGTTGCATGCACAAGTTTCTACCATGGAACAACAACAACAACAAATGAAAGAACAAATGGAAATAGTTATAAGGATGATGAATATGTCTGGAAATCAACCCCGTGATCTCCCCCCTGATAATCCACCTTAGGACAATTGATAAGTATTTTGGAACAATTGAATTTGTAAACACTTGGTATTGTTTGTTTGTTTTGTTAGTGCTTATTTTTGTATGGTATTTTGGACAATGGAATTGAATGTGTCAAACTTGGTATTAGGATGTTTTTTGGTGTATTTTATATGGTATTTGGGACAAATGTGAATTGAATATGGTATTTAACAAAAAAATTGAAATTTTTAAAATTTTAAATTACACGAAATTAGAGACAAAAAGGTATGGATTTCTATCGCTAAATAGGTCTGTAGCTATTTCGTAGGTAAAAAGTCAATTTTTGTCAAACATGTATTTCGTTGCTATTCCGTAGCTATTTACTTTCATACTATTTCGTAGCTATTTATATATGTAGCTATTTCGTAGCTATCTACACTCGTAGCTAATCTATAGTTATTTATTTCTGTAGCTATTCCGTAGGAAAAAATCTATTTTAGTCAAACATGACTCCCGTCAGTAAACCGTAGGAAATTCGTAGCTATGGTAGCTACGGAAAATTCCTTAGCTATTACGTAGTGATTTCGTAGCTAATTCATAGCTATAATTTAGCCACGGGCCATTATGCTACATGCATTTTTCCGTAGCAATTATGTAGCTATCCGCTTATAGCTATGGAATAGTGACAGATTGTGTTGTAGCTATTGCACTAGCTCTCTAGTAGTGATGGCTCAACATATATATGCAATATTGATCAAATATGAATAAATATCCATAAATCGGCAATGTTCATAAATAAAGTTTTTTTTTTTTCATAAATTCAACATGTGCATTTTCATACATATTCATAACTAAACATGTATGTATATCAACTATATCCATTTTCTCATGTTAGGTTCACTCGTAAACATATGTTTGTAGATGAACATATGTTCATGCATTGAAAACATTACAACATATTATCATTAACATATGTTCATACGTTCATAGATGAAAACATTACAACATCTCTCTTAATAAATAAAGGTTTTCTGCCATGTGTCACCTTCTCATTCAATATGACACATGGCATTTTGATAATTTTTTCAATTAAGTTTATTTCCACTTGGCAAATTGTGGATTTTTTGCTATTCTATTAAATTAAAAAATATCATAAATTAATACTACTAAAAAAACGTATACCATCACTGCATCTTCTTATATACAAATAAAAAGGAAACATGAATATCCCTCACGGTTTTGTCAAAAAATACATTAAATCCAAATATCTCTTCCTAAATTACATACATAATTCTCGGAAATCACCATCCAAATTGATTTTTAATTGCAGAAACTTAACAAATTTCAATTCATTCTATTATTCATATTCATATCCTTTCCAAATTCGATTTTGAAAAATATATACAGCTACAATCTCCTTCATATGTCGACTTTTATTGAGAGATTGAAGATTTATAGCATCACCACGTTCATCATCATAGTTCATTATCGACAATATCTTCATCAGGTTAGCAAATTTAATTATCGGTACAATTAGTGTTCTGTGGATTATGATTTGATTTTTTTTTATTTGAATATTTGAAGATTTCATGTTTAAACTTTCTTTCCATGATAATCGAATTGTAGAGATTTATATACTAAATATTTACTCATGTTTCACTGCATATAAGCTGTTTGATTAAATGTCTCAAAGATTTTTTTTTTTTTTATTTTAGTTTTACTTGCTGAATTCGAATTCATATGGTTTTTCTTCAAACATTTAGTTTTTCATTATCAAAATCGACTACAGAAACATGTTTACAACATTGGCAAATCATTATGGTTTAATGATTAACTTAGTTTGCAAAGCAGTTTATTGTTGAATCAATGCAAATTTTGTGTATTTTTTTTTTTTATCTTTTTCCTGCATTTTTTTTTATCTTTTTGTTTGAATCTTTGAAAGTGGATGGGATTTAGATCCTTTGTCGAAGTTAAAAACTTATCTGTTTAAGATCCTATCTCAAGTATTGTTATTATTTTTTTGTTTCTCTACTTTTTTTTATCAACATAAATAATGGGTACTGTTAAGTTCGGATAACAAATTATATTATCTGTTCGAAATTGATCAATCTTTTCATAGAGTAATTTGTTGAAGATTTTAACATATTCTTTGTTCCTTTTTCCATTTTTCAAAAAATTTCAAATGCTTTAGTTCAAGTTTATATAGATGCTAAATTAATACAGATGATCAAAGTTTAATTTCTTGAGAGATATTATAAGCTTTAATTTTAGAGTTTCAGTTGGATATATGTTTTTCTGGCAATAATCGAATCCAAACAGATAAGAGGTTTTTTAAAAAGCATATATGATATGCAGAATTGCAGTATCCCTTAAACTAGGAATGGTTCACTTTACTACATCTGTAGAGGTTACTACATCTTTTGAAGAAAAACAGTCTCGTGAAAAAAATAAACTTATATTTACATTATTTTCATGCTTTAACAATCAAAACAGATATTTACATATCTACCATTTTATTAGATTTATATGTACAACCGTATTGACTTCATGATTCTTTCCATTTATGACCTTTTTGTAAATAAATTTGTATAAAATCTGTGAAAGACAATATCAAGGGCATAAATGTCCATTTTAGACCTGCATATGATATTGTATGTGAAAGGGAAATGTAACTACATTAATGGAAACTAAAATTTACCTAATTACCCTTTTATTATAAAAAATTGCGTTTATAGCAACCTACTTTCATTTAATAGCATCCTACACATTATTTTGATGCTTTCAGAATTAAAACTCATATTTAAATATCTATCATTTTATTAAATTTATATGTATACTATAGCATCTAATTTCCTAATTATGTCATATTATATGTAAGCTATAAATTTAATATTTTTAATAAGTCACAGTGTCATCCTATACAATTTTACGTAATTTCCCTTTTATTAGCTTTATTAACAGAACTGTCCTTATTGTCTTTGGCAAATCTTCACAACGGTATTTTATTAAATTTACGGTATGCAAATGAGGGAGAAAGAATGTTGAATTTCCGTGTATAAATACCTTTTTGTTTTGGTTTTTTCTCTGCCATCAAATTATAAAAATTATATCACATAATTTTGACCTAATAATCTACAAAATAACTCATATAATATTGCATATATAAACTGCAAAATTCTTAATATTACGAATTTAGACGTACAGTGTGTGTTAGTTCAAGGCTTTATGTGGCCCTTTTTTTTCCAACATAACAAAAGAAAACAGATATTTACATATCTACCATTTTATTAGATTTATATGTATACTATAGCATCTTATTTCCTAATTATGTCATTTTATATGTAAGCTATAAATTTACTAATTTTAAAAAGTCACACTGTCATCCTATACAATTTTACGTAATTACCCTTTTATTAGCTTTGTTAACAGAACTATCCTTCTTGTCCTTGGTAAACTATGAATAATCATTAGTCATCATGCTTTTTAAAATTATTTTTATCAATTATTTATAGTAGTTCTCTATTATATAACAACTTATCTTCGTTACTACATTTGGTTTACAGCGTAATGGAAAACACCAACGTTACCATGATCAGTGACTTGAACTTGCACAGATGACTACACGATCAGGTTCGAATCATTCGTCTGTGGAAACAATTCGTATGATTGGAATGATATTGATGGACGAAATGGTATTATGGATTTTTTTAGTTTTTGTTTTAATATATTCTTTATACATGTTAAGTTATAATTATTTTTATGTATAGTATAACTTATTATTATATTTTTTTCATCTATTTATAGGGCGCCAAAATTGAATGTAATGTGGATAAACCATTTTCATACCTACAAGGAAATAATTTGGAAGAATACGGTGATTACTACATTCAAAACCCACAATAGGGTTAAATAATGGTGTTATAAAGTTTGTTGATGGTCCACATAAACTCTATTTCCAGTATAGCACTAAGGTTATTAAATGCAAAGACTTTTGTGGCCCCCGGAATTCCTTTGCTTTCATTGATTTCAAACAACTTCATTATAATTCGATCCAAGCCAATTTGTCATTTGGTTAGTGTATTCCTAAAATGCCTTTGCTAATGGATTAACTTATCTACTTTAATTTTTACACAATAACAGATACATCCTTACACTTTTCATTTTATATAATATAGATATTATAGGAAACGTTTTCCAATGTTTTCCATTGGAACCTCCAAAAGACAAACAGGAGC